CACCATTAACTTTTTTACAAGATGCTTGAGTAAATGACTAAGTTGAGTGGGCATCAGTTTTTTTTTACGGAAGTGCCTTGCATCAACAAGTTTTTTTAATAGATTTCTTAGGTTTTTTAGATTGGTTAGTTAAATTTTTTTCAAAGAGTAAAACACAAATATTTCAATAAAAATTTGTGAGTGGGATAAATAATAGAGCATATGAAGCATAATATGTACAAAAATAAATAATTTAGTGATATTTATAGTTGGAAAGATGTGTATTATTTTATTAAATAAGAAATAATCAATTGTTATGTTAGAGATGGTAATAGTGAATATACATATTTAATTATATTGTATTACGAATTTATTCAATGTTCCCGCAAAAATAAATAATATAAATATTTCATTACACATGGAAATCCATTTTGCTTCCAAAAACCGCAATCACATTCGCAACGTGAGAGATTTACCGTTACCGGCGGATAATCACGGATGGAAACAGAGTATATTCCCGTTGTTCGGTTATGCGGGACAATAGTGCACTAATGTCTTTTCTGCGAACGTTCAAGAATATCTTTACATATATTTTGCGGATATAGGAACCCAGCTTGCCGCCACATCTGACCGGCCCTACGTCGATCGGCAAATAGTTGGACAACTTTGTTATAAGTTGCCTTAACCAGCGCGGTGATTGGAAGTGTTCGACATCCCTTTAGAACGTTATTGAAGCTCTCGGAAATATTTGTTGTGAGGATGCTGTAACGTCGTCCATCGTCGAAGCACAGTGCCCAATTTTCACGTGGAATAGCGTTCAAATACGTGAACGCATTCTCATTCGTAGCACGAATTTGAGCCATTGTTTGGTAAAATTCACTCACCATGGGTGTACTCCCGGCCTGCCAACAGAGCTTTTTCAGTTCAGTGCTCCTGAATTTTGTCATGAAATTGCTTCTAATGTGTCGGAGGCAGAACCGCTTCGAAACTTGGGAGGTTTTCAATTGAGGTACTGATTGATAGGCACTTAGGATGCCAGAGTGTCGATCTTATATTATGCACACATGCCGATTTGGTCTGACAACATAAGTCATAATGTGTTCCATAAACCAGGACCAACTACTTGTGTTTTCACTTTCCACAACTGCGTACGCAAGAGGGAAAATCTCACGGTTAGCATTCATGGCGACTGCAACCAGGAGATGGCCCTTGAACTTTCCGTACAAGTGAGTACCGTCAACAGATACTACGGGCAGACAGTGTTCAAACCCATCAATGAATGCTTTAAAAGCCCAAAACGCACGATGAAATTCATACGTACCATCATGACTGGTTGGTTTTGGTTGGAAATCTACCACTGACCCTGGATTTGATTCTCTTATCGCAAGCAACAAATTGGGTAAATCATTGTAGGCCGTCTCCCAGTTGCCGAATCTTCGTTCAAGGGCAATCAAACGTCCATACCACGCCTTTTTGTTCCCAATTGTGCCGACATGCCCACCTTCATAAAAATAAGTTATTATACCATGACCTACAAATATATTTAATATACTAATATTTATTATGTAAAATTTCAAATTATACCTGCACCCATCGAGCATATCCTGTAGATTCTCATATGGCAAAACGTTTCGCGGCCGCACCATGGGCAATCTCTCCCACGCCCAAATCTGCAATAGAAGCAAGCATCCCCCAATATTTCTCCTGTTCGCTTTGGCAGCCTTGCACATGTTGTAATACAGGAACCCCAATACTGCTGAGCCCCAACTCCACTGTCGTGCTTCACCGAGCGGTCCCTGCAACAACTCTAAAAAGTACAATTTTATTTTGTTCCCGGTAGTGGAGGGGAACAATAACCCACCTAGTAGTTGCCAAATGAGCACCCTCGTGTATGTGATGAGTTCCTCATTTGTGCTGTGCTGATGTACCGGCCAACGTTGTAGGACATTCATTCTTATTACAGATGTGTTTAAGTCGTTGTTGTTTGGCGTGAAACCGGTAAAGTCCGTGCACATTTGCATCCAAAGTGCTTTCGAGTTCGTCCTAGGTCCGGACAGTGGTTCTCCGTCGATGGGCAACCCCAACAACACTTCTACGTCCTGTAAGGTGATGCCCACCTCACCAAAAGGCAAATGAAAAGCGTGTGTCTCTGGTCTCCATCGCTCAACCAACGCCGTAATAAGCGACCATTCTAACTGCAACCTTCCGATGCAGTCGACGCCATAAAAGCCGGAGGCCTTCAGCAACGCTACCACTCCTGGGTGACGCGGGCTGTCTTTGTACACCTTTGAACAATATACATGATATAGTATATCTAGAGAGAAGTGAGAGCTAGAGAGAGAAGTGCAGTAATATGCTTCAATAGAATGAATTTGTAACCCCTATAACTACTCCCAAGGGGAGTATTTATAGAGAAAACACGGGCTGGGCTCCCAAGCCTTGGGCTTGGGAGGCCCATTTACAACTGGACCGCTACTGGGCCAAATACAAAGCCACTAATGGGCTGTACAAATGAGTAAGTGTAAAGTCCGGTTCTGTGAGGTCTTCGTGACCGACGAGGGCGTGGCCGACGAGGGCACGGCCGACGAGGGCGCGGCCGACGAGGGCACCCGGGTTCCTTGGCTTCAGGACCATATTCTGAGTTGGTACCTTTCCGGCCGACGGGGGTCCCTTGGCCGATGAGGGCACCACTCAGTGTCTTGTGCTTTCTGTTCTTCTGAGTATGTGGGTCCGGGGGCTCAGACCCATATACTCCATCAGGAGTCCGCCACTCTCTAAGCTGAGACGTAGACGAAGTGAAGGAGAGTAGATTCCCCGCGCTTTGGTGCTTTTGGCCGATGCGGGCACTTCCCAGGCCGTTAGCTGTTGCGGTTTTGGCGCTGTCTTCATTTCGGCGATCTTGTTCCGTGCTTTGGCCGTTACCTGCTCCTCGTTGTGGACGGGGGGGCGTTGTTTCCTTGGTGTGTCCTTTTGGGGACGATGAGTGCCCTGCTTCGATGGTGGCCGTTGAAGGCGCGTTTTCCCTCTCTTGGACGTTGATGGTTGAGATTTACATTTGGGCCGATGAGGCCGTTGGGGTTGAACCTTGCTTCGAGGACGATGGGCGTCCTTTCCTTTGGGTGGCCGATGAGGGTGCTTGCGCACTCCTTTTGGTCGTCGCTGATTGGCTTTCATGTTCTTGGCCGAAGAGCCCATTATGATTAACTGTTGGCGGAGGACGATGGATGTCCCTGCCTTAGGTGGCCAGTTGGCCGTTGCTGATGATGTTATGTGCCTTTGGCCGACGAGGCGCAGTGTGATACATGGACGATGTGGCCATGCTTTGTGGTTACATTTGTGTCCTTTGCATTTTTCCTTTTTGTTTTGTTGAGGCCGATGTAGTCCCCCAGTCCCCCACTGCTTCAGGCCGAAGAGTGTGAGGGGTGAAGGAGTTGCTTGAGTCCCTGGCCGAAGCGGCCTCTCCGTAGTGCCCCTGGATCCAACCCTTATGGCGATTTTCTGGCCAAGGTAACCCTGTGGGAGAACCCTTGTGCGCAGATCGCTTGTAAAGAGTTATCACCAAAAGTCGTTACGGAGAGCCGATGGGTGTGGGTTCTTTGTTCCTTTGGTTCTGTGGCCGTTACGGGCGTTCATGACGTTCTTGGCCATTGTCATCTCCTTGTTGTTGGCATTTGTGAACTTGGCAAGCGTATAGGCCGTTGTGGGCGCTTGCTGGCACTTGTGAAGCCGGCAAGCATATAGTCCGTTGTGGGCGCTCGTTGTCCGTGTGATCCGTAGGCTTTTACTCCGCTGGTAGGTTGGTTCACGAGCCCGGCCCATTTCTGAAAGGGTGGCACCTCATCGGCTGTTGGGAAGGTGACCGCTGAGGTGGCCATTGATATGGTGCCACGTGTAGTGACCGTTGGAGATTGTCTATAAATACCTCCCTCCTCCGAAGCGGTTCCTTACTTGCATTCTTGAGATATCGAAGTGCTGCCCGAATTTCTAGAGATAGAGAGTCTTCAAGGTGTTCTTCGAGTTCTTCATATCTTCAAGGTTAGTTCTTGACTTGTTCTTCAATTCCTTTGCATACTTTGCTTCCCTGAGCCTTGATCTAGTGTTAGTGGACAAAACGCCTTAGATCCAAAGTAATTCCCCTTAGGCTCGTAATAGTTGTTATGATGAAGAGCTTAGACGAAGAATATTATCTGTACGATGACCAGCCGTCCACTAGGTCCCTCGACTATGAGGTGCTTGAGGAGTTCGAGGAAGAGATAGAGCGTTTAAGTCCTTACAAGTTCGGAGAGCCGGTGGACGACGAAGGTGAGGACGAGGAGTCCGCCTCATCTTCAAAAGGTGAGGACGCAGGTGCGTCCCGAGTGGTGGACGGGGCGTCCACTTCCGCTGTTATTCCGTGCCCGAGACCGGTGTCTGCCGTGAAGGGAGCAGAGAAGCCGAAGAGAGTAAGGAGGCCGAAGAGTGGTCCAGGCGTCTCCTACCTGGATCTCACAAATATTTACCTGATCAAGCCGGAGAGCAGCGCGACTGACTACTTAGTTGCCCAGATGTACGTGGGGCCGTTCGGGAGGGTTAGGGCACCCAGGCCGACGGACCATGTACTCAATCCGCCACCGGGGTACTTCGGAGTATACCCGATGAGTTTCGCCAAGGGGCTGAGGTTTCCCCTTCATCCCTTCATCACTGAATATCTAGACATGGTGGGGCTCCCTCCGGCCTTGCTGACCCCGAACAGCTACTCGTTGATGGTGGGGTTCTTGCTCCGCTGTGAGGAGTTGGGCTACAGGCCGACGACGGCTCTGTTCATGAATCTTTATCAGATCGGCCGAGGAAGCCACAAAAACTGTGCGGCCTATGCTACCCTCCAGCAGCTGCCGAAGAGGAGGAGCTTCACGGACTTGCCTTCGTCCATCCATGGATGGAAGAGCAAGTTCGTTTTTGTATCCCTTGGTGAGAACGGCACTGAGTTTCCCTCTCTCGGCCACACTGGGAGGTTCAATCTGCATGACCCGCCGAGGAGTTTGATCTTGGACGCTCAGGTGGAGGCGTTCTTGGAAGGGGGGCCGAGGAGCGTGAAAGACTACATCACCGAATATAAGATGACCGCCCTCGGCTTCTTTAGGTACTATGTGTATGGCGACAAGGAGGACGATGTCCAACTTTGGCCGAGGATGACCACTACCTTCGAAGAGGCCGACGGCCCGGATTTTGGCATTCCTGCTGAGGCCGATGGTAATACTTTCTCCGACTTTCTTCCTTTGTTTTTGTTCTTTTGCCTTACTAATCCGTTCATTTTCCTTTGTGTAGATTTTGTTATGGATCGCCGTTCAATCATGGCCATAGCCAAGGCCAAGGCGGCCGAGGAGTTGGCTGCAAAGGCGGCCGAGGCGGCCAGACGTGCCGCGGCCGAGGGGGGCGGGGCTACTGCTGGTGCGGCCCCGAAGCCTGCCCAGTCCAAGAAGAAGAGGCCTCCCACTGACGGCCAGAAGAAATTGACCGAGGCTGGCCTGAATGTCACTAAGAAGACGAAGAGGGAACCGTCTCCTTCCCATGCCGATGAGGTCGGCACTCTGACCGTCCCAAATGTGGACGATAGTGGTCCCGTTGTGGATCTTACCGCTACTCCAAGCGATGCTGCCCAATCGCTCCCTCTCGTCCAGGAGCCACGGACGAAGAGGGCCGGCAATGAGATTGCCGCTGCCACCTACCAGAAAATGGTGGAGTACCCCGTCGGCGGGGGTGTCTTTGACGATGGCGTCCTCGGCCATGATGTGCTGGCCCAGGCCATGCCGGCCAAAGATCGGGCCTACCTCAAGAGGCTCGGGGACGTCAAGGTGTACGAAGGCGGGATGGACCTCATCGTCCAAGTGAGTTCCCTTCCCTTTTATTTGTTGTTTTTCTCGTCGTCCGGGTGAAGTCATCGCCTGAGTCTTTGTTTGCCTTTGTTGTGCAGGGTGCCTTCATGCTCATGGAGAGCCACAAGAGGCAGCAACGGGAGATTGCTCGTCTGAAGGAGCTCGAGCAAAAGGCTGCCTCGGCCGATGAGGCGGTGGCCTGCTTGGATCGTCTCCGGGAGGATGCCAAGGCTCTGCAAAAGAGGGTCGACGAGGCAGCTGCAGCCAGGGACGATGCCCTGGCCAAACTTGAGGAGAGCCAGAGGGCGCTTGAGGCTGAACGGCGCAAAAATGATGAAGCCGTGAAGGCGAAAACTGAGGCCGAGGCTGCCGCTGTGAAGGCCGCTGATGAGGCCGTTCAAAAGTTCCTGGCCGAGGGATGGAAGGCCGATGAGCGGCTCCCCTGGTGCTACGAAGTGGTGGCCGCCAAGCTTGAAGATTGGGGGATGAACTCCCCCGCCGGCCAAGAGTACTTTGGAAGGGAGATGGCCGTGTATTACAACATGGGCCAAGAGCGGATGCAGAGGCTCCTGTGTCGGCGGCTGGCGCGTGCCCTCAAAGCCATGAACTATACCTCCGGGTGGGCGAGGCGGAACCTGAAGCTTCCAAAGCTGATGAAGGATCCCGAGGAGCAGGCCAAGCTTCCTCTTTCGGAGAGGGAGGCCCCAATCGAGAGTTCCGGCCTCGGCGAGCCGGACTATGACGAGTTTGACTTCCTGGATGATGCCACCAGTTCTGCAGCTGCCGCCGATGTCGAGCACTTTCTCATGGTGCGTCAAAATAATTTCAATACTAAACACTTATACGTAGTATAGCGTAGTAGAGTTCGTATCCACAGGGAAAGGAATAATTCTCTTTTTATGATATTTAGTAAATAAAAAGGGGGGGTTTGGATTGAGTGATTTAATTTAATTAAGAACTAAGATGAACAACCTATATGTGTTTAATTCAAAGATAAAAAGGACTTGTCATTGCTACTTTCCACTTGTTGATATATTTCAGTCGATCATTGTTATATCTATAACTTATTCCCTCTCGAATACTCAATCGGGGAGTATATCCACTTCATCGAGGGTAGTTATTAACAACGACCATTCATTAATAACCCTTACTATTAATCAAATATAGAACAACGCCTTATACAGATTTAATAGTAGCATTTAATCTTTCTAACTCCTTGATGAAATCAATTGAGATTGATAACCTCAACACAAGCGGTTTTGATTTAACCAATAAAATTAATCCCTCTTAAGTTAATTAACCACGACCGTGCATTAATAAACCGAAGTTACTTACTTGTGAAACCATCAACGATTAACCATCGGTTCGGTGATCGTTTCTAGTAATAATTAATATATGAAACAAAACTAGTTGATCCTCTAAGTAATGTTCAACATATTAATATGAAATAAGAGTAGGAATTAATTAATATTCAAGGAAGAATATTATTAAAGAAAATGAGTCCTACTATAATTAATATCAAGATGTTAACTAATTGTCATCTTAGCAACACTCCCCAACATTAATATAGAGGAAGAAAATACCATTGTAACTAATGTCGAGATGTTAACTAATTGTCATCTTAGCAACACTCCCCAACATTAATATAGAGATGGTATTAAGGAAAGAACTATTAATTAATATTCAAGGAAAGAAGTTAAGAAAATAACTCACGACTTTAATAATCAACAAGCTTCAAGAGCAACACCAAGAATGGAAGTTTAGCTCCTCATTTGGAGACTAAACAAAGCTAGAAAAATATAAAGAAATGCTATTCTGAACTGAGCTAAAGAGTATGGAAGAAGGGGGTGATTTTTTGTGAAGAAAAAGTGTGCTATTTATAGGTGCTTTTCAACACCTTTGGCCGGGTACCCGACCGGGTCAAGTACTCACCTGACCGGGTCCGGTCAAAATCAGATATTTCCCCACGTTCTGGTGATCTTCGGCATGTTAAAGTGTCCGGGTCAAGTCAGACCCGACCGGGTGGGGTAGGGGACCCGACCGGGTGAGTGCAAAAATTGGATATTCTTCACGTTCGGGTGATCTTTGCACACCGGGTTGTCCCTGGTCACTTCTCACCCGACCGGGTGAGGTAGTGGGCCCGACCGGGCCATGCACTTTCTTTGCATTTTCGTTTTTCACTTCTTACCCGACCGGGTCAAGTGTTATACCCGGTCGGGTATTTGCTCCTGGGCAGCAAAATCTTCTTTTTCTTCACTTCAAAGTCTTCCTTTCCAACACCACAAATCCTAACTAAACTTTACAACTTACAAGTAAAGACTAAAATACAATTACAACTGAAATCACATAAATGTTTACAAACTAAATAAAACGTCAAACAATTAACATAAATCAAACATAAAAACATGTAATTATGCACTACTAATTAGTGTGCATCAAACACCCCCACACTTAAACCTTTACTCGTCTCGAGTAAATCAAATCAAATCCAAGAAGTCCTAAATGACAAGAATATCAATACAAAACATCCAAGAGTGTTTTTACCACAATACAAAGCATCCCCAAATAATAATTAAAGTAAATTGGGGTCTTCAACCTCATCTTTATCTCCATTTCTCTTTTGAACTTATCACCTTCAGGATCCTGCAAAATAGACATTTCTCTCATTCTCTCGTTTTGCCTAGGTGCCCTTTCAGGTTTTCATCCCAGCTTCCCACATTTTTTTTTTATTTCTCACAACCTCACTCTTTATTTTATTGCTTTAATTTTTGCTTGAGTTGCCCTTTGTGGGTTTTCAACTCAACAAGCTCTTTTTTTTAAGAAAATAAAATAAAACAAGTAGGATTGTGAGCATACCAGAACAATCTCTACACCCCCACACTTAGGATCTGACACTGTCCCTAGTGTCCGCCTAGACCTCCACCTTGGTGTCCGTCCTCATCCATGTGATCCCCGCCATAACCACCATCGTAGCCTCCACCACCGGAGCTTGATCCTCCAAAGAAACCCCACTGAGAGGGGTCATACCATGATGGTGCAGGAGGTGGAGTGGTCATAGAGGAAAAGGAGCCCTGGTGTGCTACATAGGAGTATATCGGACCAAAGGTTCGCCGTTGGTCCTCTTCATATCTACGCCAGTCTTCCTGCCGTTGTTCCTCCAACCTCTCAAAGCTATGCCTCTGTTCAGTTCTATACTGATCAACTCGCTCTTGAAGCTAGATGTAGTTGTTGTTGATCATGTTCATGTTATTGAGCATCTGTTGCTCGAATGGTGAGTATTGGTAGACTGGGGCATTAGGTTGTTGTTGTGGTGGGTTAGGTATCAAGGGTGGGTTTTCTCCAGCATGTTCTTGATCGTGTTCATCCTGTGCATAGTGTGTCGGGATTGCCTCGGGGAGACAGTAGTGATGACCATCACCGATTTCATGGCCCACGATATCTAGGGGGATGTCAGGTGACTGGATATGGATAGTTATGTTTTGACGTGGGATGATAAACCAGTTGTAGATTGGTGCCCCGGTAGGTGTCATGTGAGATAGAGCCAAATCTTTGGTCTTTTGCACAAGCCATGACGTGCAAATGAGCTGTTTCGGGGTAATGGGGCCTAGGTCTACAAAACCATATAAAGTGGCTAGATGTGTGATTAGGCCCCCGATCACAATTTGTCTGGATGACGTTGCCACATTTTTGAAATGGGTCCATAAGATAGAGGCAACGTCAACTGGTTCTGGTCTAGGTAAAACAGCTTGTGCCAGAACGCACGCATCCCACATTCTTGTGTGGTGATTGTTCGGTCTTCCGAGGAAACAATTTGAACAGAATTTTAAAAAAATACGGAAGACCGGGTGTTGAACACAGTTCACACTCAACTTAGAGAAGTCCACCACACCTTGTCCTGTCATTCTTTTCCATAACTCGTACCCCACAAGCGTATCATAAGCACGAGCTTCATCAAACAAAGGGAGGCCAAAATGATGTGCAAATTCTCTTTTGAACAATGAACGATTTTCATTGAGTAAACGAAAGGTGATGGTGTCATTTGCATGATCATCATCATCCTTTGTATACACATATGAACTAAAGAATTCATAAACCAAATGAGGATAAGTCACATATTGCATTTCTAGCAACCTAGTCATTCCAATTCTTGCAAAAATATCACGCATGATCACATCAATCCAAAGGAGGGCTAGAGTAGTAATGCACATGAATCGGGATTGTTTTACCTCCCTTTGTGCTTGTCCCTCGAATAATCGCTTTTGTGCCTCCGTTGCAAATTCCACGCTTTCATAGCCCGCTACCGGTGGGATTGACCTTGAAGAAGAAGCTTTGGATTTTTTTGGAGCCATTGGAATTGATTTTTTTTTGTTTTTTTAAGGGGATTTTCGGACTTTGGGGTAGGGTGGGATTCGGATGGCTTTTATGGGTATGGGGTTGAAGAGGATGGTGAGGAGAGTAAGAATATGGTATTGGTTGCGGATTTTTGGGAAGATTTCGGACCTTGAATGTCCAAGAATGAGGATTTTCGAATTTTGGGTAGGGTTTTTGGGTTTGGTGGATTGGG